TGCTGAAACATTGTTTCTTTTAATCTTTAATAATTCAGATGAGTGGATCACTGTGAGGTTACAAAGAAATTGTATTCCTTTTCATACCCCCCCATTACTGGGGTATAGTGAAGGTTTCACCTTGTTGATATACGTACCATGGCAGGACACCAGAGTGCACCAACCAGATGGTGGATGCTTTATGGAGAACTCTGACTCAACTTTCCCTCCCCACATTCATGCACATCCTAATCCAGAACTTGAGACTGGATTAAATACTTGTCTGGATTTGAGGACAAGTGCTGTCCCAGTCCATCCTCAAAAGGAAACCAAGAGCAGGGGCAGGAGAAGCCCGAGGCAAACAGAGAGATCTCCATCACAGAAACGGGCTGTCACTTGGAATGTTGATTTTCCAGGCTGAATAGAGAACTCATAATTTAAAAGATTACCTTGCAGATGGTGATAAGGCACCTTTTCTTCCTCTGCAGACAACACTTGTGCTGTGGCCCGTTATGGTGGGTGCTTTTATCAGTGATTTACAACAGAGCTGTCAAAAACTTTAAAAAGCTTCTATTAAATTGATGTGGATTTATCTATCTAAGACCTTTGAAATTTATAGAGGAACCGACTTTTGGCCTCCTTTTCTAATCAGAGTGTGCAGCTGCACACGGGGCAGTCAGCTCCCCAGCCTTCTAGGAAGGCAGGCATTTGATTTGTGGCCCAGATTTGAGAATCCCTGGAGAGCTGTCTGGAGAGCAGAGCTTGTGGATGTTTGGAAACCAGTCCCCTCATGTCATTTATGGGGTAGCCTGGAACTGGGAGCACAAGCCCCCTGCTTCTGCTGCCCTGCAGCACTTACATGTGTGGATGTGACTGCAGCGTTTCCAAATGTGGCCAAATATTTAAAACTGAAATGTAGTAAAAACTGTGCCATCTTTCATTTCATTGGCACTGAAGTTGTTATCTACTGGGGGAGTTTTAATGCTTTGCTTTTGTTGTCTCTTAATATAATTTCTATGTATGAAACTGAAACTTTTTGGAATCCAGCTGGGCATTTGCAGCTGATGTATTGATTCCTGCCAGGAAAGCCATGTTAGCTGAAATGAGCTGGAAGCAGCAGCTTTGAAGCTTGAGATGGGGAGAGCCCCAGGAGATCCGTGTTACTGCCTACCAGGTAGCCAGAATAAAAGCCATTAAAATAGTTTGGACATTTCCTCCCTATTTCCATTGCCCACTTGTTTTTTTATCCTTCCCTTTAGCACCACTTTTTGGATAACTGCTCCACCTTTCCCTTGGCTGTAATCACATTGCTGTGGTACAAAATTGTCAGTTGTAGCAAAGTTGCAAATGGTTGATCCTGCTCAGCCCTGACCCAGAGATGGAATTGCAGCTGAGATGCTCTTTCAGGGCAAAAGGGCAGATCCTGCTCACTGAGTTTATTCTTAGTGCTCAACCGCAATCTTAGGAGTTGTGATGTATCACAGCAAGTTCCTTCTTCTGAGCAAAGTTGAATTAGTTTTACTCTTTTGAGAATTGTTGTAGTAATGCAGATGGTTTGGGTAAATTTTAGGGTGGGTAATTGGACATTTGCTGCTCAGAATTCCCACAGCAATTCCATTTGGATGTAGGATTGGTGGGTTTTTTCTCTGGTGAAAAGGCAAACAGTTACAAGAGCAGCTCAATGCAGGAGTGGAAGCACTTGCTGTGCTTTGCAGCACTTCACTGGTTAAAGCAGAGAAGTTGATGTTTGAAAATGCCCTAAAGGCAGGCAGGGAAATTCTGCTCCTAGGTAGAAACCAAACATGAGACAAAGAGCATAACCTGCAAAACAAAGCCAGAAAAAAGAACACGGGTCTGTACCAGTCTGTGTGCTAACTGGGGGAACTGGGAATGCTGCCCTTCTGGAGCACCTAGACAGGTCAAAATACTGGCATGAGAACATCAGAAAGTGAGACCAGAGCAATCATTTGCTAAAGGAAGGAGTGCTCAGAGTGATAATCTTCATTCCAAAGTAATCTTTGAACCCAGGCAGACTCTTGGCCACATGGCCACTTCCTTTAAAAGTGGACTCTTGACCAGTACCAGACTCAGCAAAGAGTGAGGCTGAAGGGTGATGGTCCCCAAGCCAGGCAGGTGAAGCACACAGAGATAAATGTGCTGTGTTAGTCAGTGTGAGCTGGGGCATCAAAGAGAAAAATTGTACAAAAGCAGTCAGTTACCCATCCTAAGTGTCACCAGAGTAGGTTTTTCAACCAGAGGGAGCAATGACAGCAGTGCTCAGAGACTGCTTCCAGAGAAAAGGAGGCAGTATTTGAGCAGGAGATGAATGAGGTTTTAGCTTCAACACACACGGGACAACTGTTACATCTCAGCTGAATGCTCCTGAATGTTACTGTTGTGCTTCCAGAGGCACTTGGATTCATTTCAAAAGAATAAACATTAAAAGTAAAATTTCAGGTCACTGCAAGAGCAGGTTATCCCTGTGAAAGGAAGAAGGGTGTTAATGGCTAAGTGGGAAAGAGAAAATGTGAAAGAATAGAGGCAAAAGAGTATCTGTGACTAGGTTCAGTTTGAAAAGTATCTGTGAGTAGGCTCTGTGTCAAAACTCTTGCTCATGATAATAAAAGTGCCTGTACTGGTGGAACATGTAGTGGAATTGTCAAAAGAGAAACTGAGAATATCTTCAGTGGTGTAAGTGCCCTGTTGATTAGGGAAGGAGTTCAGTACCTGGCAGTTCATGTCCCTGGGGAGCTTCCCCTTCTCCAAAGACATGGCTTGCAAGTGAGAGAACCAAGAGAATGAATATGACCCTTAGGGAACCCAAGGGAACTCTTGCCCTCCAAAAGGAGGTTAATATATGTTTATACATATATATTTATGTATATGCCTAAAGGAAACATCTTCTATAATCAGAAAATACAAGTGTTTAGGATTGGATAAAAAAGAAACCAAGTGGGGTTTAGGTTAGAAGGCGTGTGGCAAGTGCCCATAAAAATGTCAGCTACAATTTTGCCCATTGCTGAGAAACAAAATTACAAACTTTCCCAGTAGTGTAGATTATTACTACCAGAGAGAAGGGTCAAATAAGAACATGCACTGTTAGTAAACAGTGTCCAAACCAGCAAGCCAGGAGTTGCTATTGGTAAAGCTGAGGAGAGGGTTTGTGTTAAACAGGCTTGTGCTTACAACTCCCACTGCACCCTCAGTGATAATACTTAAAGTGTTACTCGGAAAACTGCTTATTTATTTTAAAATAAATATCAGAGAAGGTTGAAAATACTTTATTAAAGGCTCTGATGAACTGTAGGATGCGGAAAGTTTTCCAAAGCGCTGACAGGACATCATTAAGCCTGCAGTCCATGCAGCTGCTGCTCCTGCTACGTCAGTAAATGCCAAGAGCAGCCGTGTAAGGGCAGTTCAGTACTGAGTAATTCATAAATCGGTTGTACTTGTGCAGATTAGTTGGTTTTGTGTCTAGCAGTGGGAGCCAAATGGTTTCCAAGGGCTTCCCTGAGCGCCTGGCTGGCGGCAGAGCCTGTGCCAGATCCCTGCAGGCACCAGGGGCTGGTGAGTCAAAAGCAAAGCTGGGGGTTGTTCCACTCCTGCTCATTGGAGGTGCCAGAACTTTGCTTCCCACAGGAGCACTGATGAGCTATTGCTATGCTAGAAATTTTCCAGACCAGTCTTCCTGCAACAAGGAGCCTGAGAATGATCCACTGTGGGCTGTTCCCAATCTTTTAATCGATCTCCCCTGTCTGAGTGAACAAAGGCCCAGCCTGACACAGACAGGTGAGGGCAGCACATCTGAATAGCCTGACACAAAGTAAAATGACTGCAGCCCTATCTCTCTTTGTCAAATGGGTGAGTGGTGTTAAACAGGCAGTAAACCTGCCTGGGCTGTGGCAGCATTGAACTCCAGGGCTTTGTGAGCTGCCTGAGGAGGAAAAAAAAATTAAAAAAATAAAAGCAGATGCATTTGAATGCCTTGCAGGCTCTTTGAGCCTGAAATAGTAAGCTAGAAATAACAAGATTGCTATTATATATCATAATGGCCAAAAGCCTAGCAGGAATCGAAAAGGATTAACATTTCAGAGAGTTGGAATGAATATGAAGAGTTGTTGTTGTTTCTTAAAACAAAAGTGGATTGAGAGAGCTATAAAGCCACTTCCTCAGTGTATAAACCAGCCTTCTGGGGGGGAAGGGTAGGAGGAGACTTGCCATTGGGAAGGGAACTGTATATCCCAGGATATCCCAAAAATAAATCATAGAATGGGTTGGGTTGGGTTGGGTTGGGTTGGGTTGGAAGGGACCTTAAAGACCATCTCATTTCAACCCCCTGCCATGGGCAGGGACACCTTCCACTAGCCCAGGTTGCTCCAAGCCCTGTCCAGCCTGGCCTGGAACCCTTCCAGGGATGGGGCAGCCACAGCTTCTCTGGGCAACCTGTGCCAGGGCCTCCCCACCCAGATGTGGGGGAGGGCCCATATGTGGACATGGAGATATGAGGGAGGACTAAAAAAGGGGATGTTCTTAGAAGATGTGAGAGTGTTTTTGATCTAAACTGGTTCTCACACCCTGAAACTGTTTCCAAAGGGATCTGACACCATGAATGCTCTCCTCTACTTCAGTCACCCAAGCAAACAGTTCATGGTTCAGCTTGGTGGCTGAAGGAGAAAGTATCTGCTTTCCAGTACTCAGCACACTAAAAACTCATTCCAGACTGGATATTTTGTAAGTTACTCCTTTTCCTAAAGAGTGACATGACTGAAATCCACTCTGACTTTCACCAGGGTGTATCTTGATTAACTCTACTGAACCAGCAGAGCACGTGGGCAGCACTTTGCCCCCACAGTGACTTCCAGTGGGCACTGTTGCTGGAGTGCCAAGAGAGTTGTGTTTGCTGAGATACCTTAGCTGTGTGTTTCTTACTTGGCTTTACTCTTTTTCCTTTTATTGTTGGAAACATTCTCAATATTTAAGGCTCTTGGGGCTCTAATCTCACCCTCCTCTCTCCCCTCTAGTGTTTATCAGCTTGTTGTCAAGGAGGAGAAGCTGCAGAAAGCGCGGAGAGCTGCAGACATCATCGAGTGCTTCTCTGTCCCAGTGAGCTACAAGAATGCCTCCAGCCTGGACTCCCCACACTACTTTGCAGCTGAGCTGAAGCCCATCAACCTTCCTGTCACACAGCCCTTCACCGTGGGCGACAACAAGACCTACAATGGCTACTGGAACGCTCCACTTTCTCCCCTGAAAAGCTACAGCATATACTTCCAGGCACTTAGCAAGGCCAATGGAGTAAGTGCAGAGAAAACTGAGCTGGGTTTGTACATGTGACCACCTCTGTCTGTCCTGCTCATCATTCTCCTTCCTTCTCGATCGGATGCCAATTTAACTTTTCCTTCTTACTACCTTCTTACAGAAATCTGATGAAAATCAAGCAGGCCATTACTTGTCCTTCACTCAGTACCCTCTCTGATGCTTAGATCCAGTGAGAAATCTGCTGAGGAGCCTGACTCTGTAAAAATTGCCACATGATTTACTAAATGAGTTGCTTAGTATTTGGATCCTATTTTTATCTTTCCATAAGCACGAATGTCAGAGTAGGGGCCATTGTGCTTTTAAAAGACATAACTGCAATATTTTGATAGTCTCCAGTTCACAGTGGATTTTAGCTTGTGATTTTGGAGGAGATGTTATGAATTTGTTACTTTTTAGCTTGCACCTATGATATGAATCATAATGCAACTTGTGGTTGGGAGTTTCAGCTCCATGGACTCGTAGTGCAGTGGGGACCATGTGCGTGTCTGTCTGACTCCTCCTGAATACCCTGGGCTGTATTTCTGCCTATACTTACCCTGTGATACTTGGTTTAAAATGGAGACTGCCCAGGAAATGTCTGTCGTACTCTCAGACTCAAATGACATGCTCATAATGCCACAACAGATCACATTTCCACCACAGGAAGAGGAGAGGCTTCTTTTTGCTCTTCCAGTCAAGGATAGGAACCCTCTAACCTTCCAACCCTCCTGTTTCAGGTCAGTTCAGCTACCAGTGTACAGGCCAGATGCAGCCTAAGCAGCCATCCACCTTCCTCCCCTTTGATCCCTGAATTGTTTTTCATCATCACACAACACGATACAATTTGCCACTCTGGCCTCGGGAAAAGTCTTGGAGCATTATCATGGCATCATCAATTTGGGTGGCAGAGCGTGTTATTAGCATGTTTTCCAATGCTTTCAGGAGCCTTACTTTAGCACAGATAAATTCTCTAAGACACCACCTCTGAAAGAGCAACATTAGAAAAATAGTCAAAGGTGAATAGGGCAGGCTTTGGTCTCCACTTGGGGCAGTGTCTTTGACACCCAAAACACAGAGGACTGTGCATGGATGACAGCTGGCTATGCCAGGGAGTGTTCACAGCACATCTTTGTGCTTCACTACCTTCCTTTATCACCATCCTCCTGCACAGTTTCAGCTGTGTGCCTGACAGGTACAAAATCTCTTCAGCACTGTGCTGATTTTCACCTTCGTTTCCTTTGTAGTCAATACAAGTTTCCTTCCAGCACTCCTCAATTAATTCAGTTTTGGATTTGCCTTTCTAAAGGAAATGGTGAAATATGTGTATGTGTCTGTTCCTGATTAGTTCCCCCATGTGTGATAGTTAATTGCCAGTGAATGGATCCCCAGGGAAGAAGAAACTTTTATTTGCTTAAGTACAATGTAATATTCCATACATGGTTGTATGAATGGAAACGTGGGCTTCCCTTGGCATTCTGGATTAAGGCAGCACTAATGGGGGGGTTCCTGCTTTTCCTGCATCTCTGTAGCTGGCAGGTTGCAGCCCACCCTACATATCAGGTGCTAAGGACTCCAAAAAGGATGATAATAGGAACAGGACTGTAAAGGGCTTTTTAAGCATAAGTTAATCAAGAGCCTTTATGCAACAACACACAGTTTGTGACAAGATAAGAGGTATCCTGCCAAACACAGTAAATTCCTATTTGAGAAAGGCAATTTCCTCCTCTATTAATAATTTATATTTCTACAGTATGTGCTTATATATCCTCAAAGTGCAGTGCTATGGCTAAAAGTATAGGGGTATTTGCAAGACTGGAACGTGGATCTTCAGAGGAGCAGCTGTGATCCTTTTTGTTTCTTGGTATAATCATGAAACCCACATTTCAGACATTAGGGTCAATTTGCATCCAGACTTTTGCAGCTGTAAATAGTAAGTTTTGTTTCACTCCCAGAATTTTTTACCTGTGTCATTTGTGTTTAAGAGTTCTGGGTTTTCACTTACATCTATAACCTGAGCAGGTTATAAGACCAATGGTCTTCAAAAAGCCTCCTGAGAATTATGGCTGCAACGTGGCATTTCCATCCCTGGAAGCGTTCAAGGGAAGGTTGGATGGGGCTTGGAGCAACCTGGTCTTGTGGAAGGTGTCCCTGCCTATGGCAGGGGGTTGGAACGAGATGGGATTTAAGGTCCCTTCCAACCCAAACCACTCTGTGATTTTTGATAATGCACATCTGCAAAAAATCTGAAACAATAGCAGTTCAGCACAGTTAAAACAGAGCCTTATGTTCCCTTACAGATGAAAAACTTAGCAGAACGTTGCCACTCTTTTTTTAATTAGGATATTCCATAGTTTCAATAATCACTGACAGTTGTGGAACGATGACATTTCTTTCCACCCCTGGAACCTGCAATGAGAAGCCTTCGTGCAGTGAACCAGAACATCTTCCTTTGGAATTGTGGGACTCTGGGGAGAGCTTAATTTGAAGAAACAGTACGTATTTGGTCAAAAAACTTGATTGGGAGAAGGTTAGGAGTGTTACAGGAGTTCTGCATTGTTCCAGCTCCTCTGTACGTCGAGGGCTGTGCTCATTTGGTGTTCCCGTCTGCTCTGCAGCCATTAGCTGGGATTGTTACACTGAAAGGAACGTAATTAACAGCTGGATGCAAAACAAATGTGGCAAATTGCTGCAGAAGCAGATCACGAGCTTTTCTGCCTCCTCTTGCGCAATGTTTTGCTTGTTTGAGAGTTTGAACGAGATGGCTGTCGCTGGTGGGGAGTTGGGTGCAGTTTGGTCAATGTGGTGCTGCCTCCAGACAGGGGAACTGAGCAGAACATGTGTGAGACAGAATGGTTGTCAGGTTTGTTAGGCAAACCACTTCCAAATTGCATGAACTTCCCTCCTAGGGGCTGTTGAAAGCCAGATGCTGAGCTGAAATGTGTCAGAGTTAGAAGTAAAAGCAGGGGAAAAAGAGAAAAGGGCCGCAGAAAGTGCAGGCTGTGAAGCTGTGGGGGTGAGAAGCACCGTTAGTTACTGCTCAGCTGTTAGGAGTGAGCACAAGGGGTGGCACAAGGCTGGGCTCTGCTCTGGCAGGATCCCCGCACACGCTGGGTGCCATCCAGGTAGTCATCTGCTGTTTGCTGGTTGTCCTGGTGCCACAGACGGCTGCCTGACAGAGCACGAAGGTTTCCTCCTCTGAAAAGCCTCCCTGAGCTCAGCCCCTTCAAAACACCAGCCCTGCCAGTGTTTATCCCTCTGAAAGGTGAGGCCAGGTTGGCAACACTTGTGTTACTCCTTATCCTTTCTTATCCTTATACTGCCGTAATAATCCAAGTGAGACCTTGCAGGTTTTACCGTCCCCAGGTTCTTTATCTGGGTCACTGCAGGTGACAGTCTCTGGCTACTGATCCAGCAACATGCTCAGATGGGGAGAATTTTTGGCTGCTGTGTGAAGCCTGCCTGAATTTTTGAGCGGCTCAGAAACCAGAGCTCCCTAAAAATCCTTCCCGGAGTTGCGTTTCAGCTCCCTGAGTTAAAATGGAATCTGTGACAGCCCAGTTGCAATCAATAACTCTTGGCTGTTTCTCCTGTAACTGGGAGATGAGCAGGAGCCTGTGGAACACAGCTGGGATGATGTGGGAGGTGCTGCCAGCTGCTGCTCCAGCCTGGTGGTCCAACAGGTGACTGATGTTTCAGCCCAGAACTGCGAAAAGTAGCACTGCAGGAATCAATGAGAATATTATTTTTTGAGGGAATGATGGACTCCACAGAGATCCTGATTGATTTTTTGCCTCTCTAATGACTTGTACTACATGCACAGCCGGGCGGCTCATTATTATCAGGGGACTTCAGGCTGGATTTCTGGATGCTGACAGGTCTACTCACAGTACACAACATTCTTCTTCTGGGACATTTTGGAGGTGTGGATAGAACTGCCAGCAGAGAGGTGGCATTTATCCCTGTGGAGGTGGCCAGGGAAAAAACAGGGAGGTACTTCAGTTCAGCACAAGCCCTGCTCTGGAAAATGAAATGGCACCAAGGCTGCCTGCATTGCTTCTGTGAGCTGTTAACCAGCTCTGGGGAGCTCTGTGTTCAGTAGATTTTGGGAGTACAGTTTGTCCACTTACCTTTACTCCTTTTCAAACTCGTGTTGGAGCTGCTGGGGCAGAAATAAAGCAGCTGTGAAAACACTTTGGTCCCTGTAAGCCCCTGTTTCCACATCTGGTTGACCAGAGTATGTGGACCTGAGTGTTTTCTGGATGTAAATAAAATCCTCCAACCCTACCTCACATTTGAGAAGTTGAAAAGAGTGGGATATTCAAAATCATCTATAGATCATAGAATTAACTTCCTATTGGAAATAATGAAAGCCCTAAGGACTTTGTTAAAACTCCCTTCTCCAAATGACAGAGATAATAAAAATAGCTGATAATTGAAAAGGCAGTACTAGATTTTGCTTCAACTCTGGGAGGAACTTGCAATTTCCTAGAGCTGGCAATAGGAATTACAGGGGAGTCCATTGACCCTGCACAGACTTATGCACATGATTTATTTCAAGGCAGGAAACCACTGGATTCAATGGGATAAAATAGAAACACACAATCTAGAGCTCCCCAATTTGCTGAGGACCTCAAAACAGATTCTTCAAGATGTCCATTGGACAAAACCATGGTTTCTATCCTGTGAGAATCATGTTGCCAGCAAGGATGGTCCATGTATAGCTCTGGGATGCAGGGAACTACAGCTGAAAGTGAGGCCAAGTGGGAGAGTGATAATTACTTGTCTGGTCCGTGCACCAGCAGCACTTAAAATTGCCTGTGCCCAATTTTGAGCTGCCTGATGAAACTGTGCCTGTTGTAGGGCAGCCCCAGTGGTGCTTCTGGGGACAGCAGGTCCCACTGGTGCTGGCAGGTGGCTCTTCACTGTTTAACTGCTGTAAAGTCATAATAATAGTAAAGGAAAGGGAAAATGGTGGGTGTGAAAACAGATGGATGAAAAGGCTTTGCTGCTTTTATTGTTGTTGGTAGTCTGTAAACAGCAAGCTGTCAGTTTAAAAGAGAAGGGGGAAAAAATTCCTGTGCCCTTTCAGGTTGTGAAGACGCAGCTGTCACATAAACATATGTCCTGCTGCCCTCAGAGCCCTTTCCTGCAGAAAATTGTTCCCATCCAAACATTGAAGAGACAGAGGCAGAACCTGTCTTGTTACCATCCCTTTCCCTTCAGTGAAATGTGCATTTAGGAACCTCAGTAACTGGTGGACAGCAGCAGCTCCTTTGCTTCTAAAAAGGAAGAAACAAGCTATATTAAAAGAAGGTTTAAAAAAGCCCTGAAAATCCAGGGGGATGCTAAAACAGGCTCATGATGTGCAGCTTCAAGGCTGTGTTGGCAGAGAGGGCTTGCCCAGCTCCCCAGCACAGCCTGGGTTCTCTCCAGAGGGTTCCCAGGTCATGCTGATGGCAGGTCCTGGTCTTCCCTCCAGGAACAGGCTCAAACACAGACTCCAAAACACAGGCCTCATATTGTGTGGACTTAAAAATATAGCCAGGGTTCAGCCTTGAGTGAGGGTAGACCATAACCATCTTTTATTCATGTAGGAGGAAGTTCCAGAAAACAAATTGACACAAATATGTTCCACTAAACAAGTGGATGGGCTTATTACACACTAAAGGTTTCTGAATATGGAGCATGTTGGAAAATGAAGGTTGGATCAAGAGCTGTAGGATGTATTCATGAAGTGTTTTCCTATTCCAGGATCTCAGTTAAAATATGCCTGCATTGTTCTATTGCTGTTTGGATATAAAATCTCTGCCTTAACCTGACAGAGATATAGAGACAAAGTAGTAGTGCTACTGGCATCTTAATTTAAATTATTCCTGTGACTTCAGCCATAATATGAAGTGGATAAGCTGAATATGCAGGATCTCAGGTCATCTCTAATATTGTTGTAGACTTACAAGGCCTTGTAAAACTTCTGTGATATCATAAAATGGGAATTAAGTGTCACAGCATTTGAAAGAATGTTCAGAAGCAACACAGAGACTGAAATTTTGGGGAAATTGGTTTTGTTTTTCTAAAACTTCTATTATTAGCCATTTATTTAATTATTTTTCTGGTCATTGCTTTAAGCAGTCTGGATGGATTATTGAGAATTACCTGCATTGTTTATTCCTGTTTTGCTAGTGGCTAAAGAGAAGCATCTTACTTTACTGTGTACAGGAAAGCACTTTGTCTGAAGCAAAAGTAATATTTTTCAGAAAACAAACATGATTGTGGGATGGTGGTTTTGCTGGGTTTATCTGGGGAAAAAAAGTGTATTTATTTATTCTGTTTCCTGGCAGAAAAGTTCATGCAAACTTACAATTATCAGCCCCAAGCAAAGAAAAATAGAGTAAATTTAAAGAGGTTTTATTTTTATGAGACACCAAAGAGATGAGCAGTGGGGTGATCACTGAAAGGATTAATGGCAATCCATGGAATAATCAGCCCTAGTCAGGAATGTGGACTAAGTTCAAGTCTTTAACCTTTAGCACCCCAGGAGCTGAGTGCCTGGTGTCTGTGCGGGTTCTTTTATATTTTCCTTCCCAGAAGATGCAGTTTGAAATGAAGCCCTGAAATCCAGATGTCTGGTTCCTCCAGCGAGTGCTTGCCCTTGCTTTTGGCAGTGCCAGGTCATGGTCTCCTGAGAGCTGTGCTTGTCTGTGCTAAATGCAGCCAGGGGTGGATGCAGCTGCAAACAGCCCAGCCTGCATCCTGTCATCCCAACTCACCCCCTGGGAGGTGTCCTGCAGGAACACACATATTCTCAAAGGACATCAGTTCCAGCACCACTAACAAGACCTTGGTTTTTTAGTTTTCTCCACTCTTCTTTTCTCAGCATTGACTAACTTCTCCACCTTTCTGTTCCACTTTGAAGCCAGCAGAAAGCAACAAATACACAAGAAAATTTTCCTCAACAAAACATGAGCAAGTGGCCACCTACTTGTATGCTGCAAAAATACTGTCTGGATATTTTGTATTTTGCTTTTCATCAGTGATTTTCCAGCTCACCTTGTTGTAGATCAGAAGCTACCTCAGGATCTCTCTGTCTTACAGTTCCCAGCATTATGTGTGGAGGGTGTGCTCTGAAAACAAAGCTGTGCTTTTCCTGCTTCACAGATCACCACTTGCAATAAAGACTTTGAATTTCCAGAATAAATGGCCATTCAAACTGATTCTACAGGAGGCAGAGAGGAATGGGAGCTCTGTGTAAAGCTCTGGTGACTTTGCAGGGCCAATGGTTGCATAGGGAAGTTGATTTTTGAGGGAGAGAGGGCTCAGTGCACCAAAGAGAGATGTCTCTGGTTTACTGGGATAACAGTGATTGAGTCCTACTCTGGACCCAGTTGTATGGCTGGGAAAGGATGTCCTTAGTAGTCATGGATTGTCCTTGGGGATCCAGGAATTCCTAAAGAGAGTTTGAGGGCAAGATCAAGGGAAGACTTTGTTATTCTGGATATCTTGTTTCTAGACTACACACAGCTTATATCCAGATAGTGTGGCTGGCTGGTATCTTGAGGCATCATAGAAAGGGATCAGAGGGAATTGCTCTTGTGATTCCCACTGTTTCCCAGCATGGATCCTGCAATCCCCTTCCTCTGTGCAATGTAAGTGTGAGGAGAAAGGCACGATGGGGCTGTGTGTGTGTCTGCTCTGGCCAGGGTCAGTCTGTCACAGATGGAAAGATTTTCTCCAAGAGCCAATTCAGACTTTCCCAGGGTTTGTGCAGTTGTTTGAGGATGGAAGGAGGTGCTTGGCAGTGCATTGCTGGGCTGTTGTTTCCAGAGCACACACAGCATCCGTATGAATGCAGCTTTGTTACCCACAGTAATTTATGCTGCCTTCATTACACCTGAGCCTTGTACAAGAGCGTGTCCAGGCAGAAAGTGCTCCAGAACCCCTGCAACTGCCAGGTCTTTAACCAAAGCAACACATTCCCATTTGGATGCAAACTGTGTGTTGGACAACAGCAACCCCTGCCAAGAAGGGCTGTGGAATGAGGAGCTGGGGATACCAGGAAGGATGTGTTTGCAGTGGAGGTGACCTGTTTGAGCTGGTAGTGAAGCCAAACACAACATCACCGCTCCCGTCCAAACTCCTGTTCCTGTGGCCCTGCAGAGTCCAAGGTGGACTGAACACAAAAGGTTGGGTTTTATCCCAGCTCTGCAAGGAAGAGCTGCAGTGGAGAGGGTTGTCAGAGCAGCTCCTTTGGCAGAGGCAGCTGTACAGCAGTGCTGGGCTTCACATCCACAGAGCTGGGATATTCAAATGACTGCCTCAGTGTCTGTTTGCCATGTGTTTAAATAAATACCCAATTTGCGAAATTTGCAGTAATGGTGCATGAAAATTAGATGTACAGTTGCATGTACTTTTGACCCAGAGCTTGTCAGTCTATTACAGAGCAGGCCATTTAACTGGTAGATTCTATTAGCTAATCAGGCAGTTACGTGGGACCCATCACTCACACCCTGAGCGTGGAGAAACGTGTTGTCACTCTCAGCTTCCCAACATTTAGAACACTCTCAGCTGTAGGCAAGTCCAATAGTGTGGAGTGTTTTCTGCAATCAAAACTTGGTGGTTTTTTTTCAAAGATGAAGCGTAAGAAAAAAATGCATATTTTTTTTTAGTACCTTTTTAAAGGAATGTGTGTTTATTGTAGATGGGCAAATTACACACCTTGATGTTTTCCTATATGTGTTTTTTTTCTGCTTTTATTTTTCAGGAAACAAAAATCAACTGTGTCCGCCTGGCAACAAAAGGTATGTTGGGTCTCTCTTTCCTGCAAAGCACAATGCCAGTAATGTTAAAACTGCAGTGGTGGCACAACTTGATTACAGTTACTATCCAAAGAACCAGCCTCTTTATTTCTTCTTTTATTTTTTTTTTCTTTAAGGAAGATTACAGAGGCAGAACAACAATTTCCAGAATCACTCCACTGTATTTGTGACCTCTGTTACTTTTTTAACCCACGGTATCTTTTGCTGTGGTTCCTCCTTTCCCTTGTTCTGTCGGCAGCTTTTCTGTCCTCAGGACTGTTCTTGCTGTTGGCAGAACATCACTGGAAAAGTGACATTAAGTTTCTATTAAATTTGTTCTCTCTGCAACTGTACAAAGCAGATAAGAGGAGATCCCCTATAAGCCTCACCTTGAACACACCAGGGCACAATTCTTACATCACACCATTTTCATGGTATAATTCAGCAGACTGGTAGAGTGCATTGCTTATTTTCATTGTGGTTGGCTCAGAATAGCCCAAACTGGCCCAAACAGACCAAACTGAGCAAACCCAAGACAAATAGCCCCAGGCTGGTTCACAAGGTGTAGCTCTTGAGGGAGCAACAGTGACAATGTCTGAGTTCCTTCTAGGAGCTCACAGTTGCTTTTAACAACTCCTGTGAAGATTCCAGAATCACCCCAGGGGCTACTTTGCCAGAAAATATGTCACAAACCAATTTACTTGTAACACAGAGGAATAGCTGTAAAAAGATCTCCCCCAACACATGTTGTAGTCTCAAAAGGAGCTGTAAGGAAATGCTGGAGTAATTGCCATGGACTCTGCTACAAGTGACTCTCCAGTTCCAAAATACAGGGTTGCCAGCTTGTGCTCTTGCTGCCTTGCTGGAATGTCAAACACCTGCATTGCTGCCTGTGGAGGCTTTTGACAGTTCACCAAAATTGGCAGGCACCCAGAAATCCTTTGAGGCACCATCCCATTTTTTCCATTCCTTTCACTCCTTGTGGCAGAGGTTGATGACTTCAAGGCGCTTTCTGCCGATCCCTTCTGCACCTGCACTTGCAGAGGAGTTGGGAGGGCTCAAAGAAGCCCCATCTGTCATTTTGTTGGATAGCAGAAAAGGGCTTTTTCCATCTCCCTATGGAGACATGCCAGGCTGTCCCAGAAAGCTGTGCCCTGGGATGGCAGGGGCAGCTGTTTTCCCTGCTGAGACCCAATACACAAACTGGTGGGGCTGTAAGAAGTTGTGTCACCACTGAAACACAAGGAGGATGAGCCATTTCTCCCCTTTCTCCTTCTCATCTGTGGCTCTGGTGCTCCCCATATCCTCTTGTTCCTTTCCTTTTTAAAAGTTCCCTGTAAAATCTTTATTTAATTCATTCTCTGGGTTACAAACATTCTATGTGTCTCAGTCTATGTGTCTCCTTCCTCTCAGTTTTTCCAGCTGGTAGTGATGTGACCATTTCAAATACTCGATTTTGGCTTTCTGGTGGTAGAAAGGGCAAGAGCAGGACTGAGTAAGACAAGAATGGGTGAAATGTGGCTCCACAAGGTTTTGCAAAAGCATGACCAGAAGCCTCCTCATGAGATCAGAGATACTGGATTAATTAATTTTTGGAAACCTGTAGTTCTTCCTACTTCAGTCATTTATTTTTCTGGAGCTGGTGGAAGAATGGTGTCATGCTGTCAGGAAAGATATTTGTTCTGTGACTATTCAAAGGGAAATAAAAACTTACATAGCTTGGAAAATCCCATTCTGGGTTTTTAGTTTGCTCTGTCTGATTTGGGTACCTCAGAAAAGTGTCACAAAGGTGTTTGACCTTCCATTGACTTCTGCAAACTGATTTAATTTTCATTAACCTGTTAGGTCACCAGGAAGAGTCAATAAGCCACCCTCCTTCTGTTGTTTCTGAATGCTGTATCTTTTTTTAAAAATGATCTCTTGCTAATATTAATTTAATAAGAGACACAAAAGAGATGGGTAGAGCCTGAGGATGTCTAGAGCCACTGCTTTTTGGTGATATTATTCTTGAGGATTTTTCTTTGTTGACATGAATGGAAAAGGACAAGAAATGATGGTAGTTCTAGTGTTCATTGTCGCTGTCTCAATTCATATCACTTTTGATTTATGGGCAGATATTCCTGTACGTGGAGTGCAGAAATCTCTGTGGAAATTCCTTTTCTTTTCCTCTTGTCCTCGCTCTGAATTGCAATGCTGTGATTCTCAGAGCCTGACCATTAGCATGGACACTGGAATATCCAGCTGGGGCTGATTTTATGCAGTTTGAGCTCTTCAGGGGTGCAGTGCTGGTTGCAGCTCACACCCAAAGCAGCATCAGGAGTGAATCTGTGGTTTTGGTAACACAGCAGTCCCTGCCATTGCTGGCACCTGGGCAGTGTCAGCAGCTGAGCAATAGCTGAACAATGTGGTTCAGAGCTTTCCCATAGTTTCAGATTTCCCTGTGTCCTGAGGCTGAATTCCCACCATACATTAACTCCAGATGAACAGAAGGACTCAGGCACTGCCCATCCCGGCCCCTGAAAGAGGAGGGTTGTATCTGCCCTCTCTCTGCTGTGTGGCAATGCACAGAGACACCCTCAAAACAGTGTCCTGATCAAAGTCTGATATCTGGGATGTTCTAGATGCCCTACCGTGTCTGTGCTGTCTTCTGGCTGCTCATTATATTGATTATCCTTAATGGCATTGCCCTGTATTCACCTTTATTTGCATTGCTGTCTCGCTGAGGATACAATGAGCAAACCTGTAGTCTGCCTTGAACAAAACCAACAGAGCTGCTAGTGAGGATACCACTGTGGTCTCTCTGTAGGAATCTGGAAAAAAAAAACAAACAGCCTTTTTTGGAATCAGGATTAATCATGGCATTGACAGCTCTTAAAAGCTCTGCTTTGAGTTGGTACCAGAGAAAAAAAGCATATTTTGTTTTGGTGCAAGAAAATAAATACATACTGCTGGTGCCAGACTAAATGTTCATTTGGGATCTAGGCCTAATTTTTCCATTCCTAGACTCTTGACACTGCAGCAGCTCCATTAACACTAGTGAAATGAGTCCTGATTTACACCAGTGACAGGAAGATTAGGATCGAGACGTGTTTAAGCAAGGCAAGTATTCTCTTGAAGTGCTGGATTAACAAGGGCACTAAACGTGAGTGTGGGAGTAATTAGGCAGTGAAATGTGTTAGGCATGTGTTACTGGGGGATTATAACACATCTTGGGTGTTGCTGCAAGGCACCTGTTCAGAAGCTGAGTCGCTTTAATTACTGGAGAGACCCACGAGGCTGTTCCGCTGCCGCTCCTCCAGCAGCCTGGGAGCCAATTTGCTTTGTGTGTCCCATTGCCTCAACACCAAGGAAATGAAAGCAGAGAACTCTTTTTAAAGAGTTTTAGTCCATTACAGAAAGTTTTGGAGGTTTCCCAGTTTTCTTTTCTCTTTTAGCAAGAAATAGGCCGTTCAGATCGACCCCTTTCCAGTTCAGCCCAGCTCTCTGGGGCTTCACCCTTTGCATGGTTCCCTGTGTGCTGCTTCTGGTTAGATGAATGTGGTTCTTGTGGTAGCAAGAAAAAGCTCTCAGATCTTTCTGTTTGGGGTTATGAAATGTCAGGAGGTGGGGGCAGGGTCAGCCTTTCAGAGCACCAGGTCATGGCATCCTTCAAAGCAGAGCTGGTAGATCCTCGACGGGGTCAGCACGTGTTTAATAGACACGGGGCAGCACATCTGTGAACTCATTTCCTTCCATCCAGTGCTCCCATCTAGGAGCTGGCTGATGCCTGTGGGAAGGGCTGGTGGCAGGGGCTCCCTGCCAGCCTTTGCTGTGGTGCCATTTGACGATCCATCAGAAAGCTCCCTGCGTTTGTCCAGTCTGTGCAGCCCATCCCACGTTTTGCCAGCATGTTTGAAATCCACAAACATTATTAACCTTTTGTATCTACGTGTGTATTTATTTTCAGATTCATTGCTCTCAGATTTCTTGCCACTTCCCTCCTCACATGGGCTACTCCTCTTTTTTTTAAATTACTGGAGTAATGTCATCTTTCACAGCATTAGTCACTTGGATGCATCTCATTAGCATAAAGCACTCTTTAAAAATAAGTTTCTAATTAAACCCCAATTTACCAGCTCTCTGCCATACAGTTTTCATTCAGACAGTTTATTTATTGGTTTTGCCATTTGGTTTCCTTGATAGCATTTGTTTTAATATGTCCCATTCTTTCTGAATTAACTGACTTGTTCTCCCTGTTTTAAAGCAACATATTTATATTGACACTTTATTAGAGAAAATTGTAACCTCTTACCAAGAGAGAGTGATTACCTCTTGTATTCTTAAAGTGCATTAAATTAATTTCACAGTGTAATTGAAACCAAGGCAGAGGGCTCATTAATGGTTCCTTATCTCCTGATACTCATTTCTTCTTTCTTTAAAATGTGAGTTCTTGCAAATGAAAGAATGGAACTATAATAATCATTATGAGGTACATTTTTATTTTTTTCCTTTTTTTTTTCTGTGCATGCTGCCTGGGAACCATTTTGCTTGTTTTTAGCAGTAATAGGTAGACAAGAGGTGACCACGCGAAACCTGCCCAGCCTCTTGAGCACAGGTGATTATCAGTTCAGGAGAAGGAAAACTGGTCAACCTTCCAGAGGTCTGAGCAGCTTCATGACTTCTTGTTTCATATTTGTCTTGCATGGGAAAATACTTTAATAATTACTCCAATACAGTGTAAAAGGGGACAGTCCTCATATGTCACTCCTTCAGCTCCGAGGGGGATGTTGGCTTGTGCTGAGGGTCAGCTGGGGGGGCTCAAACCACTTAAATCTTCACAGGAGCACTTGAGTGTGGTGGAAGAGCCCCACAGATCCCCCTCTGCAGAGGTTGAATGTCTCCCTGGGCGTGCATGGAGCTGAGCTGCATCTTCAGTGAAAGCAGCTCCAGAATTCGCTGGGGCTGATCTCACTTATTCTTTGACAGCTGAGTGCTGCTGTTGAAGAAATATGGCAGGAAAATGAAAGCTTGGTTCTGGAAGCCCTCTGTGTAGAAACTGCTGCTGGAGTCAGAGAAGCTGCAGGACTGAGCCTCAGCAGTAAAGTTGCTCACAGATCCCAAGTGGGGATGTTTGGAGCTTCTCAAGGGTTTTGTGGTTTCATCAGGTTGAACCTGGAGGTCTGTGTGTCACCAGCTTGCCCCATCACGTGTAACACTGAGACCAGTACCATTACATTTGAATGTGTAGAGAAAATTTAAATATAGAGAGGAAATCCCATCAGCTTTGTGGAAGTAGTTTTTTCTCCTTTGGCCTGATGTGCATGGAATGACTGACTGGGGTGTGACAGCATTACATGTGATTAATGGGAAAGGGAGGGGAAAGGAGGGGATGGTTTTTCAGTTTTGAGATGGGTTACATTTCTGTAGGAATGTTCCTGTTCTTCTCCCAGTGCTTCATGATTATTCCTGTCCACTTATGGCTTCCTCACCCAACAGTTTTTTCAACTACACATCAGGACAGCTGTGATGATACAGGGGCAGAAAAGTGCTGGGATCACTGTGAAGTTCAAATGGTTTTAAGATGGAAGAAAAGGTCCTGATTTTTGGTAGCACTGGAAGAAGGAAACTTCCTGAGATAGTCTTGAGACCTCATTTAAGAATTTGGGTCTAAAATGTCCCGGAAAATCTTGGGGCAGGGGGGAGACTGCAAGAAATCAGTGGAAAATGAGGAGGAAAAGTGTTCCTACTGTTCACACGTGGTTTTGCTGCATATGAGAACTGTTCTTTTAATAGCTCCTTGTCCCTCAAATTCATTGAAGAGGCTTCTTTTGTTTTCCGAAATACAGTCTGGGTTTGTAGACAGATAATGTATTTTTTAAACGGATCTAATCCCACTTCAAATCTGTTTGTTATTGCATTTTGTCTTCTAATACACTGGAATGTTATTCCTTTGACAGGTTTATTCTGTTTTGTGCTATTTATTTCAGAGGGGTTTATCACACTTTTTGAGTTGAATGCATGAAAATGTTCAGTTGTTTTTTCCCCTGAACAAATCTCTGCCTTCTAAAAGTTATTTTTTAGGACTAGTTTTGTGTATCACCATACACAGCTGTTAATAAAAGACACACTTATGTTGCTCTTACTGAAAAATACACTTCACTAGGAGATAAATCAAACTTCCTGGCACATGGATACCAAATTAACCCAGTGAGCATCTTTATTTTCACCAAATTTGGTGGCAAGACTTACTTAGAGGGATTTAAAATGTCACCTTTAGGGGCTTCCTTTTCCCAGGGAGATTTAAATTAGTGCAGAACCTGGTCTAGAGCTGAATGAGGCCACAGTGAACTGAATTTGGTATCTCCAGCCCAGTTTCTAGAGAGCATTTTCTACTCCAGAGCTCTGCTGCACTGCCAGACCCTAACCTTGCTCTCCTCAATTAAAGTAAGCAGCTGGAGAGAAGGGCAGAAGAGGCAGAGTGTTTAAGGTAAAATTTGGGACAGTTTAGCAACAGGAGACTGTGCAAACATCAGCTCTGTAATTCAGAGCATCCACTCCCGGGACACACTGGATATCTTCAGAAAAAGAGAGATTTTTTGAAAAAGCAGAATCAAATGTATTATTGCTGTGTGAGCCAAGTCCTCCGGGAATCAAAGCAGGCAAGGATTTACTTGGAGACTCTTGTCCCACTTCAGTACTCACCTGGTGGGAAAGGATGTTGTTGGCTCTACATGGCTGAGGCTGGTTGGCTCTACACTTATTTTTGCTTCCAAATAAACTGGTAGCCAGGCAAAGAGGGGGAAATGAAAAAAAACATATGGTAGTTGGACATTAAAGCCACAAGTGAAGGTAAATCAGAAAGGATTTGGGGTTTGTTTATTTAGTTTTAATGCAGGGAGCAATAGATGTTTATTCACTTGTGAAATTTAGGGGCATTTTTTCATCTCTTCTGCTTGAAGGTTTGCAGAAAGAACTGTCTGAATGTGCCCTGAAGCCTCTTCTGCACAAGGGCTGAGATGGGGCAGGGGAAAGCAGGAGGAGGGCTGTCACATTTTGGACAGCAGTGTTGCATGTTCCTGACCTTCACACACACCATCTGAGTGATCAATATTTGGTCTCCATTTCCTGATATCTGGAGATCCTTTCTAAGGTGTGTCAGCCACTAGTCAGGTACTATGGATCACTCAGAATGGTTTTCATAAACAGATTATCATTGTCAGTGTCCTTTAACAGCACTTCCAAAGGCATCACAAACCCAAGGCTATTACAAATACATTATACCTCTGTTTCCTTAAATAGATTTCCAAACGAGCCAGTGTTCACAAACATGGTTAATATTAATGCATGAGCTTTTCCAGGAGCTGGACATTTAAAAACTACATGGTAATATTAGGATCTGTGATAACATCACGAGAGAGGCAGGTGTGACAGAGACTGCTTTGTAGTATTGTTGTGGAGGAAAAGAAAAAAATCTTCATTCCAGGCATGCCTGAAAGTGCTGCTTCCACTTGGCAGAGTGCAGGAGGTTCCAGTGTTTCATGCAGCACACGTAGAGCGTGTGTACAGACTCCCTGACACACTGCCCAGCTGACTCCTGCTTGCTGGAAGAGGCTCAGAGCCCTCCTTTGCATGCTGCTCGCTCAGCCCGGGGTGAAGCCTCACCAGGCATGGGTTTTGTAGGTTTTTGTAGGTTTTGTAGGTTTTTGTAGGCCACTGTGGTACTTGGAACACCTTTGACCAGTCAGGCTCAAAAGGTGATTTTATTTCAGTATCCATTTCCTACCCACCCCTTGACTTTGCTCACTGGTTTTGCAGCTTCTGCAGCTGGTGTGGGTGTGGATTTTGAATGATAATCATGATGAGATCAGGGTAACTTCTTGGAGGGGACCGACTGATGCAAAGGTTAATTATTTTTTGTTAATAGGGTGTGATGAGTGTGTTATATGCCCACAACATTGAGCACTGTGAAGTTTTCACATGTATCAGTCAAAAGATTGATCCGCCCGTGTCTGTTTTGGACCACACAAAAATTAAGTCACATCTGTCAGTTTGAGCTTGTGATAACGGGAATTTTGCTTGCTTTCCATTTTTATAATATTGAGCTGGTTTCTAAATAACTCTACAAAACTGGGGAGTTAAAATGGGAACCTGCTCTCACCCCCGAACCATCCCATCACTTGTTGTCATCACAGCAGCTGCTCTTTAGCTGAGCTCTTCTTTCAAGCAAATGTAATAACCTTTCTCATTCTTGGGGACCATATATCTGCCTTCAGCACAAATTAAGTGCTTCTGTAGGAGGAGAAAAGAAAAGCCTTTGTGGTGGATTTGCCTGGAATCTCCAGAATCAATTATTCTCTTAGTGCTATTTTTTAATTCTCATCCAGTTTAGTATAATGCTGATCTTGATTCCTCGCTGTGTATTTACCTTCATCCTCCCACAGATTCAACCTGTAAGCTTGAAAATCCCTCATACAAATTCTGGTTTGTCTTTCTCTCCTGGTCTGCTTTGTTTTGCTGCTCTCTCTGCTTAGAATATGGTTGAAAGCTTTTGCCTCTCATCATTCTTTCCCTTCTTTTTGACCTTTTTTGAAGAAATGAGTATGTCTCATTGTAGGCTTAAGCCTGTGCTGTTTGCAGTCTTCAATAACTGAAGGAGGCAAATTGGTGTAGTGATGTTACATACTCTTTGTGGTGTTAATTTTTTTTAATGAACTACAACAAAGAAAAAACCAAAGTGGAACGTGGCTTTCAGATTTGATGAGCTGTTTCATTGTTGGCTCATGATGTACAGCAGCATTGGCTTTGTGCACAGTTTTTTAGCCCCAGTACAATGCTGGAAGTTTTATAGTGGTCAGCTGATGCCCAGGGCTGGTGCTTGGTATTCCAGATTAGGATATAAAATGGTGCTTTCCCACCTTTATCTCAGTGTTATCATTCTTGGAGGTCTGGCCTCGTGTCTGCATGTCAGACTGTGCTCCACAGGTATAGATATTATCAGGCTCTGAGAACATTTCTATGTGCAGAGATGCTTGAATCATTTGTAGGCCACTCACATAGAAAGCACCATAAAAAAATAAATAAAGGAAATCATGTTTACAAGTGATTTGAGAATAGCTGTCTTTTGAATATAAGCCTCTAGGTCTATTAGGAGATTTTGCATTCAGTCTGCAGCCTGGCCATTATGTGCTGCAAAGAAATCATTCTGATTGAACAGCTCATTTTAATGACTGTGAACCCAATATTTTTCATTAATTTTTCTGGGTTAAATAATGCTTTGAAGTGATTTTTTCTGATTGGTTTCTGTTCCACGAGTGGATTTCTGTCTGAAGAGGCTGTGTTCTTAGGTGTCACAAATTTGAAACCAAACCTCATCTGTGCCAGACTTGTCCCCTTGTTGGTCTTTCCTGGACCTGGAGGCTGAACCAATGCTTGTGTTGCTTCTCTCACTTTGACCCTCCATCCTTTACACTTGCACTGCCCTTTTCTTGACCCTGCTGTCCTTAGAGCCATTTCATTTGCTTTCCCTCCTCCTGTTATGCTTTGGGATGCTCCTCTCTCCTACACAGGGACCCAGCTACCACTGACTGTGGTACCACTTCCATCACAGGGCTTTGT